AGAGTATGCTATCAAAGCTAGACGAGCTGAAGATTCATGCCTGTGAACTATCTCCAGATATAATTTCACTAACGGAAACTTGCTTGTCTGAACACGTAGACGACGGCAAGGTAACCATGCCTGGCTATCAACTGTTCAGAAAAGCCAGGGAAGGACGTCAAGGTGGTGGCGTAGCGACATACGTGAAGAATGGACTCACCCTTTTAGACAAAACGGATAAACTGGCGTGTACTTCCGAGGCGATCTGGCTGTCCATTAAAGTACCAGGTGCATCCAACCTCGATGTCCTGAAACTCTACCGACCACCGAGAAGAGATCCCGTAGTGGAGGCCTCCTTGCTAGAAGAGCTTGAAAAGATTGCTTCACGGTCGGATATTCTGATTGTGGGGGACTTTAATGCGCCTCACATCGACTGGGGCGCGGCCTGCGCACATAGCTCCGATCTAATCTTCAACAGTTGCCTTCTGAGCATGACTCTAAAGTTATTTCTCACGCAACACGTCACGTTTCCGACAAGGATGCGCGATGGCCAACAGTCCAGTTGTCTAGACCTCATCCTCACGAAATCGCAGGACAGCATCGACGAAGTGTCCGCTAGGTAAAAGTGACCACGTGACCATGGGAGTACTCGTTATTCTCAATACCCTAGAGACCCTCAACAGCCAGAAGAAATATTTGGCGAGGCGATTCCGCTCAAATGATGGCCGAACTCACGAGCACCGAGTGAAAACCTCTATTTTTTTGGAAACATAACCGCGGACTGGGACACACTGCACAGGCTCATCGAAAACCATTGTCCAACTTCGCGAAAAAGGTTGACCACCAGACCGCGATGGCTTACGCAGGCCTTAAAAATAGAAGTGGACAAAAAGCGGAAGCTGTGGAAAAAACGCTTATAAACAGGACTCCTGCATCTCTAAGTGCGTAAAAAACTCAGAGAAATCGGGTTAAGGGTCTTATTCTTAAAACAACTCGGGATTTCGAAACAGACCTGCTAAACT